ACCCCAAAGATAGTCTACATTTGAACAAGAACTATATGGAGTTATTCGGGCATTAAAAACCTGGGAACACTACTCATATTTAGTGACCATCAACCCTTACAGTTCTTACAATCGCAAAAAAAATCTCAATAGAATACATGTATGATGGGTTTTATTCTTGTAGAAATTCAGTTTTTGTGTTGAAACACCATGTCGGTCACACCAATTGTGTAGCTGACGCTTTGAGTCGCCGAACAAGCTTGTTGGTCATGGTGCAAACTAGCATCACAAGTATGAAAAGTTTGCAAGATTTATACCATGACGAAGAAGATTTCTCTCTTGCTTGAATGAATTGTAAGGAACACTCTCCTCAAAGCAATTATTCTATTCAACCAGGTTGCCTTTTAAAGGGCAACCTATTGTGTATTCCTAACACTTCACTTAGACATTAAATTATTCAAGATTGTCACAGAGAATGATTGACATCTCATGCAGATAGGAATTGAACTCTCAAACTTGTGCAATCTAACCTTTTGGCCCAAATTGATAAAAGACGTGTGCAGATTCGTGGAAAAGTGCTCGGTGTGTCAATATTATAAAAGTACAAGTCAGAATATCAGACATTACATAGTCTAAAAATCATTTGGGAGGATCTCGATTTCATTTTGGACCTACCTCGCACTAAATACGGCTCCAACTCCGTCATGGTGATTGTTGATTTTTTTCTCCAAAATGGTTCATTTCGTGGCTTGTAAGAAAACATAAGATGCTTCTAACGCTGCTAGACTTTTTTTAAAGAAGTGGCGCGCATAGAAGATATCCCGCAAAACATTACATCGAATCGTGATGTCAAATTCATAAATTGTTTCTGGTGGGAATTGTGAAAGCGATTCAAGACGGAACTCTGATTGAGCTCAGCAGATCATCCTCAAATTGAAGGGCAAACGGAAGTCATCAATCAATCTTTAGAAAATATGATTTGTTTCCTGGTAGGAGCCCAACCGAAACAGTGGGAAAAATATTTGGAACAAGCATAATTTGCTTTTAATTCCTTGGTTAACCGTTCCACGGGTCACTCTCTCTTCAGTATTGTCTATACCAACGAGCCATTTACGGGATGTGGCCATCATTACAAAACCAAAAAGCAACAATATCAAAACTTAGGTAAACAATTTTGAATCCATGCTGCAAGAAGTTAAAGACAAACTCATAATTTCGTCACAACAATATAAGCATCAAGCCGATAAGACCAGAGGCACAAAACCTTAGAGGAGGGTGAATTATTTATGGTATGACTTCGCAAAGATCGACTTCCACAAGGAGTATTTTTAAAATTACATCCTCGAAAAATTTCCCTATTAGCAAACCAATCAAAGATCATGCTTGTGTTCTTAAACATCCCCTAGACCTCGGCATTTCTTCTACATTGACTGTGTCTGATCTCTATGCTTATCATCCACCTGACAAAAGGATATTTTCTGAACTCAAGCCGAGTTCTTCAGAATTGGAGGAGAACTGATGCATCTTCCTCAGATCTGGATGATATTCATATTCATATACATTTACCTATTATCTTTATTTTCCCTACTTTTGTTCTTTGCTTCGTTACTTTTTTTTTAATTCCTTAATTACATGTTATGGGAGGTGGTCCCCCAGTCGTTAGTTACAGCCTCGGTCGCTTCTCTGCTATAGGAGAGTGGAGACAGAGGTAGGAAGGCAGAATATCATTATCTTCATTGTGGAATCACAAAAATCATCTTACTTCCTGTTCTTCCTGTTCTTCCTGTTCTTCCTGTTCTTCTTGCTTGTTTCTTGATCTCGTTCAATCAGGTTCTGCATCAAATAGTCATCAATGATAACACCCAAATCGCCAACAAAAAGTTCAAAGAATTTCATAAAGGTGATAATGTCAACCTTAACATTTCTTTCATTAGCATCCACAGATTAAAAGCTAAGATGAGGCAACCAACAAGATAATTATGAATCTCCAAAAAGAAGCGTGTTACACTTGCCTGTGGAATCAAGGCCATCGTTCCAGACAAAGCCTACAACAAATTCATACACCCTCATCATCGAGCGGGCTCTAAATTGGGGCAATCAGAACAAACAGAATATACATACTGCACTCAACCTCTATAAAGAATGATATTACCAAATGCCAAAAATGCATCAATTCCCTGATGGCTCAGGCTTTCCATTCCTTTCAATCATGCACTTTTTCAGCTTAATGACTCGGTGCTTAGAATGGCTGGAGAAACTGAGATCTCTTATTACCTTTGTACAACCTATTGCACCTCCTAATTCATCAAGGTGATTGCCTCGTCGCAGTTTATAAGCTCAATTCGGTCATTCGGGTCTTTCTATGAGTAATCCCACGAATGTATAAAGATAACACCCATCTCCATCACCTTAACCTTTAGACTTCACCTAATTAAGAAAGAGCGTGTAACGCCATGCCTCTCAACCTAGAAACCTAAGACTAAAGGCGTCACCTCTTCGGCATCCATTTTGACCACCAATTATCATGAGTGCTCTCTCCTATCTCCTCTTTGGCCTCCTAAAAATTTGACCTGTAGAAACTTTGGTTGTGATTGTTGTCTGATCTCCTCTAATAGACACCACCACCTTGAATAAATTGGACTTCCGCCAGGCCATTTTTTTGTCAATGCATCAGCTAGAGTTTCTTGCAAGCCAGCATGATCTTCGATTGGCACCTCTACATGCTTTATTTTCTAGATTTTAGCCATGCCAGTTGCCAACAATGAATCAATATCAACCACCTTCCATTCAGAAGGGCAATTTGGTCCTCTGCAATAGTTAGAGGTTCCAAATAGCCCACATCTTGCAGCTCCATCCCTGATGCCAGAATGCTCTTTCTTTAAGCAAGGTAATCACTCCACCAATCCCCATCAAGATGCCTACATTGGAGGATGACTCTCCCGCCTCCAAAATCTTTTCTGTCGCCTATGGGGAATTGATTAAACAATAATCTCAGAGCTCTTCACCTTCAAAATCCACATCAGTATAAGTAAATTCTTGCCTCTTTACTTGAACTTCATTAAAGTACCTTCGCAGTTGAATCTCATAAGATTAAAGGCTTTGCTCATTTGTGATAGAGGGTAGGAGCAATAGAGGACAAAGAAATGAAAGTGCTCTTCATTTTTAGAATCTACTTAAGTAGTTAGAAATGAGGGGAATGTGTGAAGCCTCTCATTTTTTACATTCAAATCTAACCAATGTCATAATGACCAAAAATGAATATGTTACCATGTTAGCAAGATTCCTTGGTTCCTGCATTACAAGTTGGATACATCTTGGTGAGTGCAAAAAGCGCTCAACTTGATAGATAGCACATTCATATTGTCATCTTGGTGAGTGCAAAAAGCGCTCAACTTGATAGCACATTCATATTGACTTCCTAATATAGTGGCACATGTCAAGCCAGGCAAACAAACACAAACACCTTTTTCTAGCAATCCTAAATACCATAAATGTCATATACACACATAAAATCTTCATTGGGTTTTCAACTTCATACTAACTGACCAAATTCCTACCTAAAGCAACCTAATATATCATGGCTTGCATGTCCACTTATTGTATTCTTGCCAATCCTCATGACTAAATAGTAAATTGATTGTCTACAACCCATCATGTCCCCTCTCCCTTAATCATTCGGCTCATATCTACATAAGCCCGCACATCTAGGGGTGTCAAAAGTTGACCCGACATGAACCCGACTCAAAAAATATGAGTTTAGGCCCGAATAATTTTCGGGTCGGGTTCGGGTTAAATACCCTAGAATTGACTAGAAATCGATGCCTCAACCTAGAATTGACCTGAAGTTGAATTGATTTTAGCCCAAAAAGTTGTCATTTCTTATGTTAAATGGGTTATACGAATCGGGTTCATGTTGGCGGTTGAAGGCGGGTTGCATTCGGGCTGATATTTTTAAACCATATAATATTTGGGTCGGTTTTGAGTCAAACCTTAACCCGAACCGCTCACCCAAATTGACACCCTGCACAAATCACTTCATCCAAGGAGAACCTTGTTGGATGGCCTTCACTTAATAAATATCTTCTATAAGACACTCATTTGTTGAAAATAAAACATTTTGCTGAGAATGAACAATATTTCATTTATTTCATCTTCTTCCTCTCCTGTTCTCAAATCTATATGACAAGCCTAAAAAAGAATTTGGAATTGTATATTTGCTAAGAAGGAAAGCTTTCCCCCTTTACACAATAGATGTAGGTTATAAAGACAAACCATTTTAAATCTTGATGTCCTCTATGATGGTGTGAACATGTTTCTCTCTTTTAGACTGGCCTTCATTTCTTGCTCTCCCTTTACAAATAATAGTTAGTCAGCATCAAACTACATCTAAAACCAAGAGCATATACATCATGGATTTAAGTCCCAACAATTGATGCATTATTAGAGGTTCTTGATGCTAATTGGGTTGAGGAATTTCAAAATTTATAAGAGAAGTCTCATACAATATCTTTGGGAAGAAGGTAGTCATCTTTTTACAGATCTTCTTGTCATTGTAAAAAATAAATATATCCATTTGATTTTGATCCATCAATTCCATATCCTGCGAGAGTTTAAAGAAGAAATTCTTCCCCTTCAGTTTTGATCATTGAAACTTGGGTCGGTTGTAGCTTTGGCATTCAAACAATATGAGAATGTCATATGAGCCCTGCTATACGGTTTGATATACCATCCATGCAGTCATATCCAAACATCATTCTTATGAACAAAGACGATTACTTGATCATGCATTTTTTCATCACTATTTGGGTGGAAGAACTAGCATCCAAAATAGTTATAAGAGCTAATCCAATACTGAACTTTCAAAGGAGATATGATAAAATATAAAAATGCTCAAATTCATGATTAAAAAGACTGCTAATACCCCAACAAAACACAATGATCATAAAATTTCCCCAAATCATGTAGCACATTTCATCCGACCAAAATAGAAAAGTAAAATCTAGAAGTTTGGAGTATCATACACATGGGTTGTGTTCTAGATATATGGTCGTGAGCTTCTCCTTAGAACCAGCTACTGCAAAATCAATGCCTTCTAACGATGGTATTTGATTATCATTAAGCCACAAGTCTTCTAACCTGCAAAATATTAGCGTGAGCAAATCAGAATAGAAGAAATCCACATATTTTGAAGGGATAAAAAAAAAATTTTGACCTATTCAGCTTCTCAATGTCGTTAATCGCAGTTAGTTTGTTCGAAGCTAAATCAAGAACGCGAAGATTTTGAAGAGTAGATAAGCCTTCCATCTTAGCAATACCATTATGGCTTAAATATAATTCCTCTAGCGCAACACATTCCTACAAAGTAAAATCATCATGGTCAATTCATATTGAAGTACATGGTTAAAAGGAAGTACATAAATTTCAGATTAATACCTGAAATCCTAACATTGATGTCAGTCGATTGCTCTGCAAACTTAATTTTGTTATGCATTTCAACCCACACAAATTCACTGCTCTAATACGATTTCTTCCTAACCACAACTCTTTTAAATTTGTCAAGTTTTCTAAGTTCTCCATCACCTGAAATTAAGAAAATGGCAGAAAATATAAGATAAAAAAAGCTCTAAAAAACACATGCAACAATTATTAATTTCAGTAATATCATTAAACATCACCAGAAGACAAACCACCTCAATTAAACAAACTTATAAAGTGGTTTCTCGAACAACACAACCGATTCTAAAGCAAACTTCTGATAATTCAAGGGGCAATTTGGGATCACTCTTGATTTTTTAACAAAAACAGAAACAAAAACCTAAAAGAAAAAATAGAAGTGATCCCAAACAAGTCCCAAATTTTCTATCCCAAGAAGAGAAAAAGCTCACCCTAAATCTATTTGAGCCGAGTTCAAGAATTTGTAATGCATGTAGATGTTCAAGCTCCTCCATCTTTGCCACTTCGTTCTTGGAAACATAAAGCTCTTTGAGTGTATTTGAAACCTTTGATAAACCATTCAATGAAGATATCTCGTTAAAAGAAACATCAAACACAAGAAGATCCTTGAAAATGGTGGCATCAGGTATTTTAGACAGCTTATTGTCTCTCAAAACAAGTTCCTACAAAAATAGTAAATTAATAAAAATCGATGTAAAAGATGCAAAAAAATAAATTGCTAGCCTGCAAAAGAAATTAGAATATGTTAAATGCATGAAGTCTTCATACAAATAAAAACTTTTATTTTAGTTAATATCAGGTATGGAATCAATGTTTCATGTTTTTCAAACGATTCACTATCATCAGTAAAAAATAGGAAACATGTAAGAACTTCTACAATGTTTATAAAATTTATAAATTTGATTTCAAAATAGTTGGGGATATGTTGGGGAGCTCTTGCTAGAAATCCTATCAGTTGCTCCCATGACAACAATCAAAGATAAAAGAGGCATTTGCATACAATCATACCCCGCAATTCCTATCTGTTAACTATCTAACACCTAAACTTTAATTCTTACATTTATATCATCCAAATCTTTCATATCACATTAAAAATACCACTATTTTAAATTTTCAGAGGTGAAATACACCTCTTTCGTGCATAGGTAAGACGGCATACATGTAAAAATTAAATTTTAGGTATTAGATATGTAAATACATAAGAATTGAATGGTATGCATGTAAATCTTTCAAGTTAAAATTGCCTGAAAAACATTAGTGTCTACGCTCGAAACTGAATTGATGATGATCATGGGGGCAGTGTGCCATTAAACTGTTTTCCTAAAGAGCTTAAATTGCGAAGTCCTGCTAACGAGTAAACAACCAAGCTGATATGCAAATTGACCTTTCTAGCTGCAAGAACTATAACATGTCAATGAAAAAGAGCCAGAATAAACATTGTTCTGCAAGTGATAGACATGAACAAAAAAAGTTTTTAAAAAAGAACCAGATAAAAAAGCCATAAGTTTCCAATTTTTAGTGAAAATTTTGCATCTAGGACCAGCATTTTCATGGTTAAAATAATCATTCTTATCAGTAAACCTTTAAGATTTTCAAATTCACAATCCCTTTATTTGTAACACTTTCCTATTTATTCTCCTCCAAACCCTAGAACGCCAGTTACCACTGCACAACAAAAACATTGCGCAAAATGCAACAAATTTTCAAAAAATCAAACTGATGTTTAGATTAAAGTTCCATATGTAACCAAAACGATAAAAAAATTTCATGTTCAATAAATTATATAGGTCCGTCCATCGGAATATCCATGATAGAAAACCTTAAAAAAATAAATTTAAAAAAAAAACAGCTCAAGCTCCATTAACAATCAACAACCAAAGGAATTCATACTTGCAAACCAGAAATAGTACTCCAACCGGATAAAGGCCGGATGCCCTCATCATCAAAGAGATTCTGCCGCAAAGAAAGTTTCTTAAGCTGAGCGAGGAGCCCGATCCGATGGTCTAGCTTAGAAAGCCGATTGGCCGTGAGATCTAGCTCCTCGAGGTCCTCCGGAATTTCAACTTCGCCGAGATCGTGGAGCTGGAAGCTCGTGAGATCGAGGCAGCGACCTATGCTATTGTCTTCCTCCGCAACGTCATCGTCACAGTTTCCCATGTCGGTATCGGATTCTCGAAAGGCATTCTTCATTTGAGATTTGAGGAATCTAGGAGCAGAGATTTGGAAGAACGTGGCGGGGAAGAAGAGAGCAAGAATTCTTGAGAAGATAGAAATGCTCTTTCGAGAGACAGACAGCACCTGCCGATCTATCATACAAATGAACGGAATATATTTTTCTATAGATCATGTGTATTACAAAACATCCTATTTATATACCTAGTGATGGCATCCTTGTAAATTACGATGAAGGGTAAAAAAGTAAATGTGCTGAACAGAGCTCAGCATAAAACGTTTCGGACCTCATCCTCTGATCCCTAGCGGTAAAACCTCGGCAGCAGACAATCTCTCCCTTAAGAGGTGCCACGAGCATGAAGCTCTTGAAGATACAACTTCTGAGGCAGCTTATTAGGGTGCGGCTCATCCTCTGATCCCTAGCGGTAAAACCTCGGCAGCTGACAATCTCTCCCTTAAGAGGTGCCAAGAGCATGAAGCTCTTGAAGATGCAACTTCTGAGGCAGCTTATTAGGATGCGGTGGTATTTTTAAAATACTGTCGTATCGTTTGAAAAATGAATTTGCATTTGCCGAGCGTCTCCAAAACGCTTCGAAACTATGTTCGTAATTTCTTTAGTAGGTGGGGATGCGGGATCGACCCCGCGTCTCGCATTGGGGTAATAGTTACTCACGTGCCCTTCTGCTCGGCCTCGCCCTTCCCCTCTCGATCTTTCTTCTCGTCCCTCACCTTTCGCTGAGATCGACACTGCGATTCCAACTTGATCAAAAGGTCGTCGGGAGACTGAAGTTGTGCAGATCGTTGCTTGATCAAAATGCTTTTGATTCTTCATAAAATTGAAAGCATGGATTCCTACACAGCTCTTTCCTACTGATCGATCTCCACACAGAGTTCTCTTCTTCCATTTGGTTCGCATACAGAGCTCTCTTCTTCCATTCGGTTAGCATAAGAGCTTATTTCTTCCATTCGATTCGCACAGAGGAGTTCTTTCCTTTTGATCGATTCGCTCGCGAGAATCTTCAACCAAGCAAATAGAAACTCTTCTTCCTTTCTTGAATCTTATGCGATCACTTGGGATCTCTACTTTCAACAGTCTAATTGTATGAATTGCATGCTTTCGGTTGGTATTCTCCCTCCTCTCCTTTTCCTTCTTGATCTATACTTCTTTTATGGTTTCCACTTACCCAATATTTTTGAATCGCAGCTCCCACTCTTTTCATTTTTGAATTTTCAAGAACCCTAGGTAAAATGTCAGGGTTAAAACTATTTAATCTTTTTCACTGAAATTAGCTATTTAATTGATTTTTTTTAACATTGTAAGACAGCTGTCAATCAAGAGCTACTTCTTGAACGTATTCATTATTGCATAGTTTACAAAACTTGACTTCATGTTCATTTTTTTAATAATATGCAGAAGTTACTGCATAATTTGATGTGTGAAGAATCATTGTATTAACATCTGGAGTATGTTATGCTCACTATAGAAAGGGTTACATTCACACAATAATTAAAATAGAAGCCCTATTTTGTTGCCTTCTCCTAAAAACATGACATTTTCATTAAACCCTTTACTTTTTACTCTATATATTGCTCATTATTGAACGTTTTAATTTTTTTACTTTTAATTGTAATTGCATTTCTTCTTATTTTATTTCTTTTGATGTTCACAAAATGGTGACCAATATATTTTAATTTTTGTAACTCAATTGTATTAGTTATATCTATTATTTTTCTCATTCAGTTCTGTTGGAAACAACTTAACCAAACAAAGGTAGAATTGCATTTATCCAACAACAGCTCCCAATAAGCTGTTCTGAATAAGCTGCATCAAACAGTAAGACAGCTTATTCTGATAATCTGCAGATTATCATATTATCAAAATAATTTGTTTATCAGCAGATTATAAATAAACAACAGCTGCACCAAACAGACCCTTCATCTCTTACGGCTAAGGAGTGCAGGAAGGTTTCCTGTTGTGAAAAATGACAGTAATAAGTAAAAAATTGGAATGAGAAATTCATAAAACTCGAACACAGCAAAATATAGATTTACGTGGTCCAACAAATTGTCTGCGTCTACGGAGTTGCGAAGGATTTTATTAGCATTGAAGATTACACTCGTCGATCCTCTCGACGATTACAATAAAAAAATATTTCTCTCCCCCTCTCTCTCTCTTCTTCTCTCTCTATCTCTCTCCACCTGAGAGCCTCCCTATAGAAGATCAAAAGGAAAAAAAACAGAGAGCAGCTGCACCAAGGAAGAAGACAATGGGAACAACTAGTCTGTCGTAAGCCAATTACTGAATTAGAGATTGGAAAGGGGCTAAAATACTTATGTGATGCACTGGAAGCATGAATTAAATCATCCTTTTTCGGTCCATTAAGGCATGTGAAATTCAAGGAGGTGAGAGAGTTGTTTCGCAAGCGGAAGGTTGAGCGGGATCCTTTATAGGAAGGTACGGGCTAAGCTTAATATAGAAGAAATTAATAAAGTAATAATTTTGAATAACTGTCATATAGAAGAAGTGGATCGGGCTCCACACTACTCAACAAATCTCCCACTTGAAGACTAAGACACTGATTGCATCTTCCTTTACCTCAAACGTAATATCCTCTACCTCTGCAACTCAAAGCTCATTATCTTTACGCTAGAAAACTAACTAAAGTCGAGCACAACTTCAGTTCTCAAGAGTAACACCCTTGGTCGACGTATCAGCGTCAACATAGCCTTGTACCTCGAAGCTCTTTCCTGGGTTACTCTTGTATCTGCTTACAACTCCTACTGCATGGGCAATATTCTGCATTTGCTGAAAGTCTTTTACAACAAGTCTAGTCTTATATATTTTACTTTCATCAAGCTCAGTCTTCACCCGATACACCCACTTGTTGTGCAATGTCTTCTTCCGTAATGAAAGTCCTGTCAGCTCCATGTCTGATTTCCTAGCAGGGAGTCCATCTCTTCCTTCATGGTCAATACACCCACTTGTTGTGCAATGTCTTCTTCCCTAATGAAAGTCCTGTCAGCTCCCATGTCTGATTTCCTAGCAGGGATTCCATCTCTTCCTTCATGGTCGGCTCCAATTTGCTTGAATTTTCATGTTGTGAGGTTTCTCGTACCTTTGTGGTTCTCCATCATTTGTCTGTTGAATGTAGTTTGAGGTTGGTGAGTAACGTTGAGGAGAAAGTCTATTCATGACTTGCCTGTGAATTATAACTGTAGGAGTGCATGATTCTAAAGTTGACTGCAATACAATATGAATGGGTGCCCCGAACCTACTATCCCCATCACTTCCATCACTACCTTGCACTATGACATATGGAAGATCATCAAACCTTAAATTTCTATTATGGTCATCAATGAATGTGGCATAATAACGAGAGCCTCCAAGAGATGCCAATGGAGAGGGTCCCCACACATATATGAGTACAAGATCCTGTTTTTTGCCTTTGGCGCTCTGCCACTTTTCAGGAAACTAATATTCTTCTGCTTCCTCATGATGCAACTTTCACACATGCTGAGATCAACTAATTTCGGCTCTGGTAGGATGTGTCTAGACTGAGGTCTTTCATGCTCCTCTAACTCATGTGACCAAGCCTGCAATGTCACAAATCTGTCGTGCTCTCTGCAGCTGTAGTAGCATTACTGTTGAATAAACCTGTAGTCATATATAATGTGTCAATTTTCTAACATCGGGCCAGTACCAGTGCCCCTTTTGTAACCTTCAAGGAACTATCTAAGAGCACTACTGTATGACCACCATCATCGAGCTGTCAAGCAGAGGTGAGGTTTTTCTTCAACTTAGGAATGTGTTTGACCTTTTGCAAAGTTCGTTTTCTCTTGTTATGAAGTACAATATCAATGTCTCTCATCTCCACCACATCTAGAGCTTGTTCATCAACCAGATATACCTTCCCAAAGTCACCTACAACATAGTTTTGCATTAACTCTCGGTTGGAAGATGTATGGAAGGAAGCTCCTGAATCCAATATTCAGTCATCGGCAATAATGTGAGCTACCAACAATAGTGCATCTTGTACTTCTTCAGTTAGAACATTAACACTATTATTCTTCGTCTTCTTCAAATTTTTTGCAGTTTCTTTTTATGTGGTCAGCTTTGCCACAATTCCAGCAAGTTGTCTGCTGACCATGCTTTGATTTTGAACTTTCTTAATTTGAGTTCATGTCATGTGATCTCCCTCTGAAATCAACATTCAGTGTTGAACTCGAACCCAAAGTTTTGCCAGAATCCTTCCTGTGCACCTCTTTAGCCAAAATTAGATCACATATATCATTATATTTCAACTTAGATTTATCTGCATAATTGCTAACTACTATCCTTATGACTTCTCAGTTATTTAATAATGAATCCAATAATATTTGTGTATGTATCTGATACAGAAAAATAAAATAATATTTTAAGTACCCTTTTTATGCATATTTTTGGTGATATTGCACTTTAAAAAAAGGTATTTTGGTGTTTTTGTTGCAGATATATATTTTTTAGGCATTTGGATAAAAAATGACAAAATGAGCGAAATTTGGAGGAAAAAAACCAATTTTGGGGTTTAGCGCATAATGCGCCAAAATCCAGAGCGCTGATATGTGATTTGTCAGGCGCAAAATTTTCAAATTAAGGTGGTTCGAGACGAATGTTGTGCAAATTTTCAAAGGAACACTTGTTCTAAGCACCCCATGAAGTGATTCAATGCACTTAGACACTATGGAAGGTTCCAATTTGAAGAGAATTGACTCTTGCATCAAGGGGGCATATCTTTTGAAATTCAAAATTTTGAATTTTGAATTTTTGGCAGCCTAAAATAAAATCTAGTTGGAGAAGAACTTCATTGGGGGGAGAAAAAAGATAGGTGGCGTGAGAACTAAGAGGGAGAGATTGATAGAGAAAGTCAAGGGCTTGGAGATTGTCTTCTAGGGTTATAAGAGGAGAGGGAAGGTGAGAGATTTCTTCTTCATTATACTTCTAAGAGAGAATTGAGGATGCTTGTAAAGAGAAAAAGGCTCAGAGAGAACTTCTAGGGATTTGCTTAGAAAGGATTGTGAGTTAAGTTGTATTTTTCATTTCTTCTGTTTGTAAACTTGTTTTTATATATGAAATCCATGTT